TACAGGATCACCCCTACTCCAATTGCCACCCTCAGTCCTACATTCTTGACTTTCCTCTTCTCCCTCTGTCTCCTGACACCTTTCCCTCCTTGTGGTCTTCGACTAACAGTAGCACAATTTCAGCACCTTGTTGGTCAACAGCACCGATGGCAGTCATTGTTAACCCGGGCCTCGACTGATCCAGTATGGTGTCGTTCAGATGAGCACGCATTATACTCGCTGAGAAATTCATGAACTGAATGACTTAAAATAAAACGCAAACTTTTTCACTTAAATGTACTTCTTTATATTGATGTCTTAAAAAGTACAAACATATTTTGTGTGGCTGAGGCAGATTTGAAGTAAAATTGATTAAAAAATGTTTTAAAGCTGTCAACAATAGAGGCAGCTTTCAAATAAAATATGTTTTGCTTCATTTTAGTGAGCAAATTGTATAATGTAATATACAGTAATATTTAATAGTTTATCTGAGACACTCCAACAAATGTGATTCAGTTAGCCTAAACGAGTCAGAACTATATTGCTGGTATAGTTCAGCAGACTTTATCCTATTATCACTACATAAATAGAAAAAAGGTCAGGTGCTTACCATCTATGTTGTATTTGCATAAATTTGAGCCCAAATGTTTACTTAATATACAAAGCCAAAATTATTTTACAAACCCTCTGGCTGTTATGTTGACATCCGTCTTGATGATGAACAACTCAAACATTGGGACATAAAATCTCTATTTCTGAATGCCAGTAGGGGTACTGGATAATCTCTGGGTAACCAATGTTGCCATATGACCCCTAAGGTGCCCAATGGTCATTTTGCCCCACCATGCATTGTTGCGGTAACACTCAACCTTTATTTAGACAGGTTAATCCCATTGAGCCTCGAGGACTCATTTACAAGAGAGACCTGATTTCAACAAAGAATGATGACAACAATCCAACATTTTTCAGTCAGGTCATCTGGACAGCTGTTTTTTTTTTTGTGCTGAAACGTTTCACCTTCCATCCAGAAGGCTTCATCAGTCAAGGAAACACACAACACAAAACTGATTGTTCCCCCAACAGCTTAATCCAAAGTGGAACAAACCAGTTATGTTGGTGCTAAGATGGTCTCTTTGGCACGCCCCCTCCTCCGGTGCCAGCCCTCTTCCTTGTCGACAGTCATGTCAAACTGGTTCAAAACAACAAAGTCCATGCTCCATAATCCAGGTATACAATCCAGCATTTTTCAGTCAGGTCATCTGGACAGTTGCTTCTGAATGGAAGGTGAAACGTTTCAGCACAAAAAAAGAAACTGTCCAGATGACCTGACTGAAAAATGTTGGTTTGTATACCTGGATTAGTTTTTTTTTTTTACAAATTAAAATAAGATGGCAAAAGAGTAGCAAAAACAACTAGATTATAAGGCAAATGTAAGTAATGCAATAAGTATTGTAATAATGTAGTAGTAATGTAATAAGGCGAACAGCAGGAATGGGCACCGTTTTGTCAAACAGCGTAGTTTGTAGCTGCAGTGCATTTGTTGCTTTTTCTTATAGAAATAATTACAAAAGTTTGATTTTGTCTGTGGTGTGGTGCAACATCATCTGATTTTATTAACTGCATCAGCCCGTCACAGATTGCACACAGCTGATTAGGAAACATCAAGTCACACGTGAAGTTTCTCATGTTGATACTTCACGTGCGATCTTTTATCTAAAAACTTTTAAATGTAAAGCCTCAAATGATGTTTATTTGTATCGTCGTCTCCCCACTCCTGCTCCACTTTGGCTCTATTAATGAAACACGAGCGAGCTCGTTTCCTCTGGGAAACACGATAACGCTGTTATATATTGTAATTTGAAAAAAAAAAAAAAAAAAAACTTGGCTTGAGTCCCAGTGGAGAGTTTGTTATAAATCATGACATGCTGATGTGTGCCCTCAATTTGTCCTTCACAAATGATATGTACAAGAAACGAGAGCATCTTCCAGGGACACGCTCTGCTGAGTGAGAAGGTGATTCTCATTTCGACTTTTACATTTCCCACCAGGAGCTTTACGAAAGCTCGGGGAATAAAACCAGAGGAGATAAATTTATGTACTTCTATTTTTGATGTTAATTAGTACCGAGCCACATATTGATTCAAGTGAAACACTGATAAAGGGAACAGGAGAACATGTGTGTATGAATTATGCTGGTCTAGCTTGTAGAAATAAAGTATGATATTGTGTGTGTGGTTCTTTCTGAGCTGGCAGAAGATTTAAACTTGATCTGACTAGAATCAACGCTGAGCTGTCGAGATGTGTCCCTGCTTCAGTATTGTAATAAATGTGACTATTTAAAACCATGTTTTAAAAATGCTCTCAGTCACACTTCAAAATGTGTAATAACAAAAAATTGTAAACCAAAGATGTGTGTTCATTCTGTATCTGGCCAGACAGTTTTACAATTATAATCTATTAGCAAAATATCATACAAATGACTAGTGTTATAGTCATAAACATGTCTATAACTCAGTCAGTTGTACAGGTATTGAGATAAGATTTGGTGTGGTAGTAGTTGAGACTCATTCCCAATGTATAGTCTGAGAACTAACAAAATCCTGCAAAATCTTTGTTTATTCCTTAAAGCATTTTATTCAAGAAATGCTGGTTTTAATTATGTATACAGATTTAAGAAAGGAGAGGACAAGCTTGGCAGCACGGTGGTGCAGTTGGTAGCTGCTGCCTCTCAGCGAGAAGGTCGACAGTTCAAATCCTGGCCAGGGGCCGTTCTGGGTGGAGTTTGCATGTTCTGTCCGTGCATGTGTGGGTACTCCGGTTTCCTCCCACAGACCAAAAACATACATGTTAGGCTGATTGGTAACTCTAAATTGTCCCTAGGTATGAGTGATATTTTCAATGTTTGTCACGTTTGTCTCTATGTTGTCCTGTGATGGACTGGCGACTTGTTCAGGGTGTCCCCCCGCCTCTCGCACAGTGATAGCTGGACATGCGCACCTGCGACTCAAAAAGGAAGAATTGGGTAAAGATGATGAAGAGATGGAGGACAAGCTTCACTGAGTTGAGTGGTGACTGCTTTTCTCATTAGACTATTTATTTGTAATCATATCAAGGAGCGTGGTGGTGCAGAGGTTAGTTAGAGAAGGTGGGCCTGTGATCGGAAGGTCCCCAGTTCAACTCCACAGACCAACAACATCAAAATTGTGGGTGGGAAATGTGAAACACTCACATCTGCCTCTACCCTCTTTTGCCTCACTCTGGGTCCTTGAGCAAGGCCTTAAACCCCCACCATCTGCTCCCCCAGGTGCTGTAGTTGGTGGCTCTCTGCTCCACACAGAGGGCTGTGGTAGCTGGTGGTCTGTGGTTGCGTCAAGAGGGTCATCCGGTGTTAAAACGGTTGCCAAGTCTTTGTGCGACTTAGTTCGCTGTGGCGATCCCTGAAGAAGGGAGCAGCTGAAAGAAAGAATCTAATCTAATCTAATCTAATCTAATCTGTAAGGTAAAACATCAAAGTAGGACTATATGAGAAAGCCATCCCATAACTTCCATACAGCATTTTCAAACAGTCTATATGAAAACAGCATAATGAAACTTTTGAAACTCTGCTTTTGGTTTTAGAGCTGAGCTACCCTAAGATTAGCTGCAACCCCCATTTGGCCCCCAATTTGAAAACTTCCTGGTTTGCTCTAGACTGCAGGTTTATTTGTGGTTCCTAGAGTTTCCCAAACTAGAATGGGAGGCAGAGCTTTCATTTATCAAGCTCTTTTGTGGAACCAACTTTCAGTTTTTCACCGTGAGGCTGACACCCTGTCTACTTTTGATTTGGATAAATTTAATCTAAGTCTGATTTGGGTTTCCTGAGATATCCCTTAGTTATGCTGCTATAAGCTTATTAGCCTGCTGGAGGACGAACTGACCACACTTCCATAGTCTGCAGCTCTCTTGCTCTACACTGCATGTTTGTATTTGTATTTTGTTCATTTATATGTTTGTATTTGTCTTTCCATAGAAACTACCTGGACCAGTCATTCTGTTTGTCTGTGTCTCTTTTCTGTCCTCTCAGACTATAGCTGGGCAGTTCCTGACTTACCCGAATTAAAGAGTCAAATCCTCACACTTGAATCAGAACTCACCAGTCCGAGCTCTCGATTAACCTGGATCCTACGTCCTCTAGCACACTACCTGTTGTGTACACTACCACTTAACAAGTCAACGCGTTGGTAAACTCTCCAAACAAAACAGCAGAATCACCGGAAATGGTTCGGATTCAGGCGAGTTGGGCCACACACCTGTTTCTGCATGATATGGTTCTTCCTGTTAAAAAGGAGTTATTTCTTACCACTGTCGCCAATGTGCTGCTCAGGATGGGAGATTTGAGATGGGAGATTCCACTATATCTCAGGGTATTAGATTGTGGAATGATCTGGAGGTTGATATTAAAAATGCCAAAACTATGTACATATTCAAGAGGATGATAAAAATTTGTTTTTAAAAAAAATATTAAGTATAATGTGAGTTCATAAAAATTGTTTACAGTTGATCTTATATTTTAGCTAAGTTTTTTTAAAATTATTTTTTACTTTTTTTTTTTATAAATTCATCTTGCTTTTGAGTAGTAATTTTGTTTGGAATATATTTTGGGGACAAGGGGCAGATTTTATAAGAATTCATTATTCTTCTGCTGCCTTTCATTTTATTTCGGTGATTGTATATCTTTTTTCTTTTCTTTAAATTGTATTATATTTGTTGTTTGGATGAAATGAAATGAATAAATAAAACATACATACATACATACATTTACATTTTTATAACGAGTGAATGTTCTGCACAGCGCCCCAAGATCGTTGTATTCTGTATTTAACAATAAACTGAACTGAATCACAGATTGGCTCCTAGTAATACTGTCTGGTTACCAACAAAGTAGTGCCAGCAATTAGACCCAGCCCACCCGGATGCGGCTGTGTTTTGGGTGCAATGTTCCTTTAAAGGCTGCCGTCATTGCGCAGAACAGTTTTGAACCAAAGAGCGGAGTGACCTTCCTCCGCTTTCAGTCTGAGAGGGGCAGCGCTGAAGCAAGAAGCCGGGTAACAGCTTCTACAGTCCACCTCCCCCCCACCACAGCCTCAGAAATGAACAACAACTTAGTGGGAGATGAAGTCGGGTAGGACATCTTTTATCAAACCCTTTTCCCTGTTTCCCAAATCTGTGGTTTAAAAAAAAACAAAAAAAAAAAAAAACAGCCTCTCAAATTGCAGCGCGCGCGCTGTTAAGCTGTCATTTGACGGCTAACGGAGGCTAACAAGCTTAGCACCAACTAGAGGAAAGACGGCTAAAAAGTGAAAGTAGTCCTCAAAGTAGTCCAGCTGTTGGTGGTCATGCAGACCAAGTTTATTTAGAGCAATGTCGCTTTAGTTGTCGTTTGAAAACCCCATGGAAGTGAGGCCACTTGTGTTGTTTCCAGTTAGCTTGAAGTTAGCCGAGCTAGTCCTGCTAACGCTCCGCAGCGAAACTCTCCTCTCCTCGCCGCCGCGAGGAGGACATTTAGCGGACACCGCTGGAGGATGAAGCATCCTCCTCCGCTCCGAGCTGACCGGTTCGACCGGGTCAGCGACACGCTTTGGTGGTGATCCAAATCATTAAAGCTGCTTTGGTTCTTGGAGCAAACCCGTGAAGTCTGCGTGTATTTTGATGGTGGTCCGCCGCTCTGTGCGGCTGCTGTTCGGCTGTGGTCCCGGAGGGTTGTGCTGCTGCTGCTGGCTCTCTGCTGTGTAACTTACGTGGCAGGACGTTCCCATGCACACCTTTTACTGTCCATGCTGTGCAGACTGCATTTTTTAATCTAATTTGACTTTACTGATCACAGCGGTGTTCGCTTTTTTGCTGTTTTAGGAAACTTTTTGTTGGTGGATTGGACTGGAGCACAACACAAGGTGAGTTATAAATGCTCACACACTTCTGTTGTTGTTAATTTATTTAATGGATTACTGTCTGACATGTGCATGGATTGATTTATTTTAATCAGACACAAGGTTCTGGCTGGTAAAGATAGAAAAATAAAGAAACTTAACATGATTAAACTCTACAGATTGAGTCACAATGTTGGGTCTGAATGTGAGATCACATGATCTAGTTTTTGTTTTGTATGAACAGATCCAGAATAAAATAAAGAATTATCTACTGCGGTTTTTGCTGTGTTCACAATGTCAGAGTGTCTGTAATTACAATGTAATAACAAGAATCTGTTTTTTCATTGTTTGATGTCGATGTTTAGGAGTCAAGACAGCCGATGGCTGATTACCACCACAGATTTGTTATTTAGTTTTCTATCAGTATGTATTAAAGCGTGTACATTTAAAAATACTATATAGAAGCACGTTCTTACTCTAAAAAACTAAATTGTGGCCTACAGTGAGCTGGTTGTAGCAGCTGCTGCTGCATCTTCGTGTTCCTACTGGGTTGAATTGGTGTGCATATGGCTGATTGCTGATTTAGATTTTTTTTAAAGTGGCTAATATCAACCAATTAGTGTCTGTCTGTATTGGCTTAGTTTCACACATATGTTACGATGTTTAAACTGCATATATTACTGTAATTATTACTTGTTTCATTAATATCTTGATTGCTATTATTGTGTTTTTATACGGAAAATATGGCAACATGTTTACACATTACAAAGCCAGAACTGAATAAAATAACATTATATGAATACTCCAATAGCTTTTGAGCAATAATGTAGATTTATTTTATACTTTAATTTCATTGCACACCCGAATGATTACATTTATATTTATGATCTTCTCATTCGTTCTTATCAGGAGATGATAGTTTGCTTTCAACCGTTTGTTGGCTTATAGTTAGATCAGTCATTGTTTAACTTTGCACGAGTGCTTCTCTGTTAGCACGCTCACCGTTAAGATCTGATCCCTGCGTAACTCGGTGACTGTTTCTGCGCTCATGCCCCGGGGCTTTTCAGCAATAAGAAAACCAATTACGCTAACTCTCTCCAGAGCAACTTCTCGTTTGTTCAAACTTGCTTGCCTTAGTTGAGTTGGCTCTGTGGGTTTGTGCAGGATTTACAATGGCTGGTATGTTTGGCGCTGTGCAAGATGACAGTAGGTCTGCGCTTTGTTTGCCCATTGGGAGTTCCTGTTTACGACTTAAAGTAATATATTGTTTACATATAAATCCAGTACAGTCCCCAGTAATCTGCAGTAACATAAACTCAAGGTCACTGGATGATCTTCTGGGTTATTTAGCGAGGTTGTGCTTGTGGTTTTTGTTCCAGTTATAGCTCTAGAGCTTGTTGAAGTGCTAAACATGTTTTCATACTCACTTTTTAAATAATGAAAGCAAGAGGTTTGTACACCATGACTACATTTCTTTTTGCCATCCAGAAGGCAAACTGGGAGTAGTCAAATCTTTGGCTGTAATTTCACGTTTGCGCTGCTGGTGTGTATGTTTGTGCTTGATTACATGAAGCCTCACTGTCTGTTTGTCTTTCTTTTCTTAGAGACGCTGAGAAACTACTTCTCGCAGTATGGAGAGGTAGTAGATTGTGTCATCATGAAGGACAAAACTACAAATCAGTCTCGAGGTTTTGGCTTTGTTAAATTCAAAGACCCCAATTGTGTACGAACAGTGCTGGAAACAAAGCCACATAATCTTGATGGAAGAAATGTGAGTATGTTGAAAAAGGTGGAAAAATCTGCATGGTTTGTGTTCACTTTAAAATAAACTTCAGAAATGATTGGAGAAGCCTTAAATCAAACGGCACATTTTTATGGATAAAGTTCGCATTGTTGGTGTTAAAAGTAAAAAAGAAATGTAATATTTTTAAAAGAAAATATGTATTTGTTCTCCGTCCTAAACTGATTTCAACATTTTGTGCTTTTATTGTGTTGAGTGTTGTCAAGGCGATGTCTTTAAATCACTGCCTTCACGTGTTATTGAGAAGGACAAAGCAATACACTGTAATGGATTTGATGAAGAACGTTTGAAGGTGCCTTTATTAGAGGATGATGTGAAACGGTTTTCTCTGCCTCTGCTGTTAGATTGACCCGAAGCCATGCACTCCCAGAGGAATGCAGCCTGAAAAGTCTCGAACCAAGGAGGGCTGGGTAAGAGGCGTCTGATTTCTTCTGAGGAGGCTAGGTTAGGTGATTTTGGTGGAGGAAAGCTCAGGTTCACTCACTCCATCCCCCTCTTCCTCCTGAGGTTTGACTCTTCTTTGCTTTGATGGGCCATGACGAAACCTTCATCTTTATTTATTTTTCAATAAATGTGAGTTTTGTTATTACTCCCTCATAAAATGTGACTTTTTTTTTAAGATCAGGCTTAATTATTTGGGGGGAAATTTGCTAAAAATTAGTTTGATTATTTGGTAATCACATGTTTATTATTCCTTTTGATTTCTATTTGTGTTGAAGGGAATGCGTCCATATCAGCAGCTTTCAGCTTGTCTGGAAATGTCACGTAACAAGATCAAATTTACTGATTGAACAAAAGCCTTTATGAAGATTCTTGTGTCACGGTCCTGAATGCTGAAGTTTACACATTGTTTGTGTTGCTATAATTGTTTTCTATTGCTTTCTCTTATAAGAGCTTTTATATACTGTATTCCATTTGAGATAATTTGAGAAAATACAATATTTCTGAGACGCAATTTATTGTATGATCCATAAATTTGCTTTCTGCGAGGATTTTTTTAGACAGGCAGTCATTTTTCCTCCAACTTGGATAATTCTGGGGTCAATTAACAATGACCATCAAGTCCCTGCAGATCTTTTCTAGTGATTTTGTGCTTCTGGGCAGCAGATTTAGTATATTTTCTGTCAGTAAAACAGGTTTATAGTTCTCATTTTGCTGCTGGCTTCAAGTCATGTAACTGGTACCAAATGTTTTAGTTGGAAAACAGAAGATGTAATCGTTAAAATGTTTTTCCTAAGAAGCCTCCAGCCTTTGCACAGCAGTAGTGAAAAGCCCTGTGGTTGAGAGTAAGTGGAAGAAGCCGTGTTCTCTGATCTGTGGAGTCTAGTGTTTGCATTGACATGACATGTTAAGAATTAGACCCCAGGGCAAGAGGAGAACCTAATTTCTTCTGCACTGGCTGAATAGATGATCGCTAACTGGCCTCCTCCCAAACCGATCCTTTAACAGACTTTGAAATCCATTCACTCCCTGTTTTTTTTTTTTTTTTCAGAAGGGCAGCAAAGCTGACAGCAATAAATCAAAGAAGATATTTGTAGGTGGAATCCCCCATAACTGCGGCGAGCCTGAACTCAGGGATTATTTCAATAGATTCGGAGTGGTGAGTATTACAAACGTCCAACGCCGCCTACTGTGGTTGTCATTAACATTGTTTAAAAGGGTCAGTACTAAAGTAGCTGTGCATGAAGGACTACTCGGATGGGATCATACAATGGAGATAGAGCGTTAATAAAAAAAAAAAAAAGGGGACATTGTGCAGTTTTCTAAACGGAGCCCATCTTTCCCTTTGTCCCATTCAAGGTCACAGAGGTGGTAATGATCTATGATGCGGAGAAGCAGAGGCCCCGAGGTAAAAGCTGATCTTGTTTTATTTTTTCTTTTTTTTTTTAAATCCTCGTTTCTCTTTTCCGTATCACTTTAAATCTTATGACAAACTATTCTGGCCCAAAGAGGAAAAGCTCATTTCATTTCAGTTCAGTTTTAACACCAACTTAAAGCTCACAATGCAACAAATGCAGTTAAAGCACGTTAGATTAAGCTCCATACCATGTCACTGCTGTGTAATTAATTACAACATAATTAATTACAGTTGTGCAGAATTTGATTACTGCAATAAAAATGTTTAATTCTCTCAAGAAAACTGTATTATTAAAATGTTTAAAGGTAATTTGGAGTTTCCAAAGTTGCGCAATATAATCACCTTTCAACAACTATTTTAAATGCTCATTTCACCTTGTTCTACACGGTTATTTATAAAAATTGGGAATGATTTCTAGAAACTAAAGTATTTGTTTTGCTCTTTGTGTTATGACCTTGTTGAACAGCACCAGTAATGTCCTTTGATTTTCCGCAGCCATGTTTTTAGGAACTCAGTCGATCTTTAAACAGAACAAGGAAACTGCTTGGACTAAATTTACTTTTATTTGAAGAAAAGAAAAACGAGTTGGTTCCGAACTGTAACAGGTTACATCAGTGCTTTTACTTTTTGCAACAGCTTTTAACAAATTATTTCACTTTCATAAATGTTTTGACTTTGAGTACTAATGAGCATTAAATCGGCATTTATTATTCCAAATATTAATTCATATATAAACTCGATTAAACCTGTAAGCGTGCTAATACATTAATCATGTACAAAGAAACACCTGTTAAATTGTATGCCTTCTTAAATCTGGCTCCTAACATTAACAGGTGTCCGTCGGTGTGTTTAGAGGGCTTTGCATAGCAAAGTTACTCTTTTTTAAATAACATACGTTATATTTTTTGCACTTCTTGCTACAGATGAACAGAAGGAAGCAAATAGAAACATTCTGGCGTTAGCTGAAAATGAGTTCATATTGTTTGCTATCTGTTCTTCCTATTATTCACAAAGCTGAATATCAAAATGTTTGACCACTTTCATAAACTGGAAGTCTTTCAATTGTAAATCAAACACAGTGTTTGATTTAGCATTTTTAACCATTTAAAGTAAAATAAAACAAATCCACATTAAAATGTGTGTCTGTTAACATTAATTACTCTAGTATAGGCATAACTGCAAGATGTTATGTGAAAAAGTGGGATTTATTGTTCTTAAATAATTTTCTTAAAGTGTAACGAGAGATTTTGTGCGTCTAAAAATAATGTTGTTAAAATGTGTTCTGGGGGTTGAAGGAAACTACTTCCTGATAAGGAAACAGATTGTGAGGAAACAGGTGCTCCAAAAACTACGGTACTTCATCACGTCGTGCAGCTGGCGTATTGAGAACAGTTTGTGTCCAAAGGAGGATTTGTTCTTCAAAGAACCTGCTTTTGGCCCCAAATACAGAAGGTGGAAATAGACTTTTTTATAAGAACAATGCGGTTATTTTAAAGGCTTCCCATGTTTAACCCAGTTACTGACAGCAGAACCGATGGGCTTTTTATATTTGTCCAGTATAGTAATTAATATATTATGAGACTTTGACATGTGCCCACACTTTGAGCATGGACGGTCTCTCTGGGAATCAAACCGGTCCCACCGGCTGTGTCAGACTCTGCCCACCCAGTTCCAGTCACAGCTGTTTCATCTGCATTTGTCCCACATACTGTAGCATCGACGCAGCGACCACCGACCCACAGCTTACATTACTTCTCCTCCTTCAAATTACCATTCAGGCTCTGTTGGGAAAACCCAGAATAGTTTGTCATTAGGATTGTGTACAGTGTACTGCACCAGTAACTTAAGATAATCTTTAACACTTTCTGTTACTAAAACTATAATGTGTTCATGATTGGAATAAGTTTCCTTTAACTTGGTGTAGAAGTAACTGACGTCTTAAATGGTATAGTACGTTTTCCTGTATGTAGAAAGTTAAGTATTTTTCTAAGTAAGCTCTTTTCTATTTTTCTTTCTTCTTCCGCCCTTCTCTTTGTGAATGGTTTGGATGTGATTAACAGTGTCTCTTAAGATTTGTCTTTTCTCCTTTAGGTTATTGTGCATTGATAGGCAGCACAGAGGTACAGGCCAAATGCAAAAACACATTTTTACTCTGTCTAAATAGGGCATACTTAAAGTGCATCAAGGGTTTTACTGGGCTGAGGATCGTCTAATCATTAGTAAGACTAAAATGGTTCAAAGAGGGATTTGATCAGGTTATTATCGTAGAAAGACGCATTTAAATTATTTTATGTTATGAAGTCAAAAAAAAAAAGGGTGGAAATCGGATACCTGATATTTAACTTGTAGTAAAGAATAAAGGACAAAGGATTATTTTGCTCTTAGTAAACCATAATTTATATTATTATTATTACTATTTCTTTGTAAAATATCAGCTGCTAGTGACAAATTGTTTGTGAATCCTTGGTCCAGATATTCAGATTACTCTCAGAAACACCCCCCATAGATTTACAAATTGGAAATTTGGACTCGCTTCATTCTTTTATAATAATTTATATACAAAATATTGACTGTTTGTAGATATACAGTAATGTAGACTTTTAAAAGTTGACAGAAATGGTTACTTTTGTTTGTTTAATGATAATTTTTAGCAGTCCAGATTATTGATTCTAAGTAACAAGTCCTTGCGATTTTAGTTTGAGCGTAACAAAAGTTATTCCGACTTCTTAATGGGGCCAGTTTGGTTTTAAATTTAGGTTGGGGACGGGTCATTGACAGATGTTATTAATAGCAGTGGAGCATAAGGCGTGGGAACGTTTGGCATGGTACAAGAGGTCTCTGAAATCTTACTCGTCTCGTAGGACATCTAATTGGATTCAGGTTAGGTCCCCAAGTAGAGATGCGCTCTCAACCCAGTTCTGCCATAGCCCAAAGATAATCAGATTGAAAGTAGATCACCGCAGCTTGCAGCAGCTTGTTAACGCTCTGAAGAAAAGTTTTGGAAGTACTCTAGTTTACGGAGCAGTCATCGTGGCCAAAAACATTGACTTTAAACTGCGTTCCCTTTGATGCACTCTGTGTATATACCCCATGAAAATCTGTCAACAAAACAAGTCAATTATCCTTTTGGCAGAGCTTTCACAACCTGTATCTTTGTGTTACCTCTGTGAGCAATATTTAATTTGTCCATTTTAGGCTTATCCCGGCAGACTCAAACGTAATATACTGAATTTGGGAAAGCTCGGAGAAAGCATTAAGCATTCTACAGTTTGTGTTTCTCCATATTTTTGTGATGCATTAACAATGGCTGCTGCGAGTGTGTGCGCTCCACAGCGTTATGTCAAGGCACAGTTCAAGGTGGGGTTTGGATGAAAGTGCATCAAGTAACAAAATGTAACGTTACTTCAGTTCAGTCTTTTCTGACTTAATTGACCTTTTAAATGATATTTCACTACGTGCGCCATTCATCATGTTAAGCAATCCATAACTGTTAACTTCACCAAAAAAATTATCTTCACACGAAAGAGAAAGGTTTCCTTCAATCCCCCAGGCTTTACACTTGGATTTGTTTTACTCTGCAACGTCATCCGAACCCCAGGAGCCTCTTGCTCAGTCTTGACGGAGCCTCAATCTGCTGAAGCCCAATACTGTTCTTCATCTTGTGTTGTCACAACCCCCTGCTACCTTGATTCACTCTTGGTCGTTGGCTAGGTTTTGGATTTATTACTTTCGAGGCCGAACAATCAGTGGACCAGGCTGTCAACATGCATTTTCACGACATCATGGGCAAAAAAGTGTGTAGTTGTAGTCTTATTTTACCCTTACGATCAAACAGAGGCTTGGGCGACGAAGTGACAAGTTTATTGTGATGATGTTTTCGTTATATAAAGTGATATTTTAGTAACTTTCAATTAGTGAGCGCAGCATCATCAGCAGTACAATTTTTTTTCATCTAAAACATTTTGATAATCAGTGTATTAATTTTATATCTTATGATATAATTTGTATTTGCAGATTCAAGCTTCGCCCAAGGCTTTGTTTAAACTGACCTCTCCTTTAGAGTGTTGAAGTACACAATTTACCAAAATAATCAATTTTACTTTGATAATGGAAAAAATTGTAACAAAAAAATGACATGAAAATTAAAATTTAATGTAGAAGAATGTTAATAAACGTAGATCACCTAAAGGATTGGTCTAATATGTTCGTTCAGTTTTTTTTTTTTTTTTTTGGTTTTGTTTCTGATGTTTTATTGGCAGGTCACAACATGTTTTATTATTATTTTTTTGTTTCCTTTTTAAAATTTTTAATAATAATAAAAAAGCTCAACTCAGTGACCTCAGCTGAATCTCCATACTGTGTCTGTCAGCTCCTTAAATAACAAATGAAAGCCTGAAACACAAGTTGCAAAAAAAACATTTGCATATCACTTCTCGGTGTTTGTTTATCTCACTCGGCGCACCAGATGGATGAGGTTTACTGCACTAAGTCAGTCCACACAGAATCAGGTAGATTTCACATGCAGGACGAAAAAAATTACATTTACGGTAGAATTGTATAAAAAATTTTCCTCAACTTTTGTCATACCTTGTGTTGCACAAATCTCTGTAGCAAACACCACCCACCTGCTGCCTCAGCTGAAGAACACTAATCCGTTTATATTGACACGTATTTGCCAAAGTTTATCTCAAACTCTTGGGTTTTAAATGTGTCTTCAACAGCTCCAAATCATAAGTAAACTCCCCCTTTCCCCAAAAGATTAGGTAAATATTTAGCAAAGATGAAGAGATTGAAAGAGTGATGGCCTCATTCTTGCTCTCCAAGCAGAAGTAGAAAGAAGCTATGGGTTAAATAAAATGGTTAGTAGGGCTGCACAATATTAGAGTAGGAGATGGTAGTGTTTATTAATACGATAATAATAATAATTGCAACAAACCACTATTTTCCTCCTCTCTTTCTCTTCTGTCATCACTGTGATCTAAGTCAGACTTGAAAGTCAGTGAGAGTGTTGGATTGACCAAATATATGCAGAACATGAATGCATAGTACTCAAAATATAACAGCCTGTGATTTATTCATGTCCAAGCAGTCCTTTACGATATTAATATTGTGCTCACTGGTATTGCAATGAAGGTAAACTTGCAGTTTACAGTAATGTGCAGCCCTGATGGTTCGTCAAGTAGAAACACATCTACTGTTGCATTATGTCTTCACATGTCTAAAGTCTTAGATCTTTTCAAGGCTGCACAGTTGGTTCTTGAATGTTTGATTTACATGGTTTGTGGTTGGTTTTGGTAGTTATGTGAATAGCTTTGGTAAAGCTCTACAGTACAGTAGTCCCTCGCTACTTCGCGGTTCGTTTATCACCGTCTCGCTCTATCGCATTTTGTCAAAGGAAGATTGGACATGACGCACAATTGGCTGATTGATGGATGAGCCGCACGATCGGCATGGAATTTTTATTTAAAATAAATTATTTCAAGTTATTTAGCACCTGCTGCACCTTTGTGCAGACCACAGCTGCAGAAAAAAGCTTCCTCCTACAGCTGATCAGCTGTTTTCCATGCAGAGTGGAGAAGTGGGCGTGGCCAAGAGCGCTTGCAGGTGGCAATAAGTAGCGGAGGCAAGGAGCTTTAATTCATGACATGCTGTGCTCTTTTAGAGCGTTTAGAAACATTGTTTGGAATATTGCAAGAGTGTGGGAAGGGTTTAAAACACCTATACATATATATTTATATATATATACTAAAATAAACTACTACTTACTACTTGTACTTCTATTCCTACTTCGCGGTTTTTCACTTATCGCGGGGCTTCAGGGTACAGGATCCCCCGTGATAAACCAGGGACTACTGTATTCCGAACTTAAGCGCTCAAGTGGAATTTCTTCCTTGGATTAATTTTTTTAATGACAAAAATGGTTAAATCATGTAATCTGGACCTGTTTCTTTAAGTCCAGATGACATGATTTAACCATTTTTGTTGTTCTCTACCTGGATGATTGAGCTTACAAAACTTTTTTTTTTAAAAAGTGTATTATTAGCTGTCTTTTCAAGTAGTAATTATATTTTAGAGGATTTACATCATGAGCTGTGATTTTAGAAAATATTGTGTGGTAACTCATGATATGGAGCAACAACTTTAGGTGACATACTTATGGTTTGCTCGCTGTCAGCACTTGAAAACATTTGATCAATTTGACAGTTTGTCTCTGTAGAATAACCCGATCATAAAGCTTGATTAGAACCTAATATAGCAACGGTTTTATCTAGAAACCACCTACCTAGGACTCCAGAAAAACTGGTTGAAAAAATCTTTCAGCTATTAAACCATTTAGAGCGGTGAGTTTTATTCGTATGTCATTATAGCATTATAAAAATTAGTCAGCCTTAGCTGTGTACTCTCCGGTCGTACCTTCCCCACTTTGCCCTTATTTCCTGTAGGAGTCAAGGCTTGACTTAACCCATTGTTCTTGACATGACATTGCTTTACACTGGAACTAGAAGGAGGCTGCGAGATACAAGTTTTAAAATTAGAAATGGGAGCACATCAAACTGTGAAACAAATCCCAGTTCTGCTGTTGGGGACCATAGAGAAGTCATGGTATCCATCACTTGTAGCTGCGACGCCCACGGGAGGAAGTGCTCAGGTAGCAGCCGGCGGCGGCGTGGCCACTGCTGGAAACATGTGCATGTAATTAGGTCGACAGAGAAGGAAGACGGGAGGCTGGGGAAGGTGGTAACGCCTTAAAGCAGAGAAGAATTTGCGATACATTTTCTTCCCACAAGGTGACCCCAATAACTCAACCCTTCAGTCTATTTCTGGTTGGCTCCCCTTCGTCTCAACCTGTTTCTTTGTTCTGACTAACTGCTGGTAGTCTGCGCAGTAACCACAGGAAGGTTTTAGTGATGGGGCAACAAATGTATATGTGCCTCATAAAGGCAGTTTGTCAGTTATTGTAATAAAAAGTAAAAATACTTGTAAATAAAAGTCAACATAATCACAACTAAAATGTATCCATAAATCATTGTAAAACTATTAGTTTTATTTGTATTATCTTAATATTTGATTAAATTTAAGCTTTTTTTTTTCTGGTCTGACACAGTATGAAGCTTCAGTTTTATGACTAAAAAGACTGTTTGTACTACCTGCATGTTTACTTTATATTCTGTTAGAACTGAGATGCAGTTTTCTCTCTACATTCACGATTTATCTAAAACTTATACCAAGTAAATAAAAAAATAGAGCATTTAAGCATTAGCTGGAGTAAGGTAAGTTATGGCAATACATTAGAATGTAATTATATTTAGGGCAGTTGATAATAAATAAATTAAAATCTATGTTTCTCAGGTACAGTTAAAATAAATTGCAATTTGAGGCCAGAAGTTCTTAAATATTATTTCGGAACAATATACTGTATTTGAGGACTAATCTTGGTTTTCCTCTCGGTACCTGGGACACATAGAGTGCGGCCTTTGGGGCTGACGCAGTAATTTTAATGTTCGTAGCTCCCTTACATTATTCAAATAAACAAATTGAAATATTTCAAACTGGCGCAGACTGCTGAGATTAAGCTTCAGTTGTAGGACAGACCTGTGTAGGCGAGGGACTTCATTGTCCGCTTACTGGTGTTGCCAAATGTGCCCTTTCTTGTCCTTTGTCCAGGTGGAAGTAAAGAAGGCAGAACCTCGTGACAGCAAAGCTCCTGGCCAGCTTGTCCCTGGTCAGTGGGCACCCAGGGGTATCTTGACTGCAGCTAATGGTTGGACAGCACAGCCGGCCCCAGGCTGGCAACAGCCTTATGGGCCACAGGGTGAGTGGGAACAGGTCCCAGATCAGAGCAACAAAAGCTTACTGGTAACAGGAAAAACCTTGAAGTAACTGTTTAAATATGATGGATCTTCTGTTCAAACGTTAACCAAGTTGACATAAAGCAGTCCTTGATCTGCCGGTCTGAATATTCAGCTATATTACACCAACATGTTATTTTTCATGGATCAGTTTTGTCCTGACTAAACTTGTTTATTTCCTCTCTTCCTAAAGGAGTGTGGGTGTCTGCTACTGGTCAGCCCATAGGTAGGTTTTAGCTCTTCACTTGAAAGATGTTGTTGTAGTGGGTTTCTTATATGTTGTGTAACTGCGAGATTGCAGAAAGATGTGACTGCCATGTGATTGTGTGCTTATCTTGAAATGCCTGTGTGGCAGAAATGGGTTTGCAAGCAGCAAAGCCTATAGGGTGATGATGGTTAACAGTACGTTATCTGTGATTCATAATGGCTGAGGCTGCTGATAATTTGCTGCTTGAGACAGATGGCAGGCTTGAATGGATTCTGGCCTCCTCCTGCTATTGGTCAGGCTTGACTTCATATCAACACCTCTCGGTCAACCTGCAGGACTCACTTAAAAGTGTTAGCCTCATGCTCACTCACTAAATACTTTCAGATACTGTTCTTAAACGGTTAATCTATTAATGTTACCTGTTAATTGACTGTTCAATCAAACAATGACAATTAGAAGCAAAAACATCAGATTTGGCACCGTTTTATATTGTATATTATTTGTTTTCTTAAAGCTAATAATTATTGTATATAACAACAAAAGCCTTTAAAGTCCATGCTCAAAAATCCAGGTATACAATCCAACAATTTTCAGTCAGGTCATCTGGACACTTTCTTTTTTGTTTTTGTGCTGAAACGTTTCACCTTCCATCCAGAAGGCTTCATCAGTCAAGGAAACACACAACTGGTTTGTTCCACTTTGAAGTAAGCTTTTGGGGCAAGAATCAATTTTGTGTTGTGTGTTTCATTGATTGATGAAGCCTTCTGGATGGAAGGTGAAACGTTTCAGCACACAAAAAAAGAAAGTGTCCAGATATCAGGTCTCTCTTGTAAATGAGTCCTCGAGGCTCAATGGGATTTACCTGTCTAAATAAAGGTTGAATAAAAAAAAGATAACCTGACTGAAAATTGTTGGAACAAAAGCCTTCAAATATTAATGAACAAATTTGATCTTTTTGGTGTCAGGTGGGTATGGGCTTCAGCTGTCAGCAAGCCGGGGAACCCCCACACAGCCTCCGTCACCCTTTAGCGCATTCCTGGTTACGACCCCGGCTGGCAGCTTCGCAGCACCTCAGGGCTACCCTCAGCAGGGCTACAGCACAGCACCTCAGTTTGGTCAGTCCCACAAGTTCTCACACTTTTTACATTTTGAGTGGTTTATTTTTTTTTATTATTTAGAGTTGCAGTCTCATTTAATTGCACCCAGGCTTAATGGAAAAAAAAACAACTTGTAATTTTTTGTTTGTATGTGGGTGTAAACATGTTAATAAAATTTGTCAAGTCTTTAAAGTAGCAGTTGCTTTGGTAAGGGAGGAACCTTCATCTTATCAGAAGACAGCACGACTGCAGACACCCAGTAAATAATGAAAAGTTGCTAAAACTCATAAGGGATATTAATTTTAACCAGTCTATATTTCTCATGTTTAATAGCGCTAATATTTAGGTCATTTACAAAACCCCAGAAAAACACAATTAAAAATAAACTCTACAATGAATTATTACAAGTGTGGTAACTTCACATGCAAAAGTTATGAATTGATCTGGGACAGAATAATTATTTAAAACATAAAGATTTAGATTTGTCACAGCTGAAATAGAGAAGCGAGTTGGGAAGAAACTGTTTTTTTTTTTATTTTATTTTAGTTATATATTTTTCTTAAACAGCACAAGTATCAATCTTCAGCTAAACTAGTTTTGTGCAGTATAAATAAAATAAAGTGATAAAACCGTTGTAGGAAATGATCATAAATCATATATTTGTGGTTACACTCTTAACAGGTTACAGTTTTGGCACACCTCACGCAGACCAGTACGCTTCACAAGTTCCTCCTCCACCCACCACTCCAGGAACTGCACCGCTGGGCTTCGCTCCTGCAACCACACCAACTCAGGACTTGAGCAAAGCTCCCACTGGGCAGCCCGACTTCCCTTATAGCCAATATGGTAAGAAAAACGTTGTGCATAAAGAAGTGTGCCGCCCGTTTTCTGTCCCATCTGTTTTTAAATCATCCCCCCATCCTGCCCATCTCCCTGGATATTTTATTGAGCGCAGCTACACTCCATTTGATTCATGACCACAGCTCCACAAACAGGTGGTCGCTCTCGGTGCTGTTTTATCTTGAATAGCTACACATACAAACATGCTTCCTGCATGCATGAACCCCACTGACTTTGCCATGAAGACTGGGATGATGGTTTATGATATCCAGGACTCCTCATGAGTTATTTCTGCTGACCTGTGGATTTACTTAAAACAATTAATAAGTTTTGAATTAGATCATCCTGCCTTGCAATGTTTTTATTTTTGTTTGTACTGCATTTTATTTTATTTTTTTAAGTGTGACTTGGTGTGCTAGACATTTAACTTGCTCCTAATATCTTTATCTTTTTACCAGTCCCCTCTACACTTCTCGCTCCTTGTCCTTCCATGGTGACTTTCTTGACTTCTTTTCCCCATTTTGGCACAACTTCACCAGCATTGCAGTCACGTTTCTATGAAAATTTAATTCTGATATAAGACACATTCAACCTTCAAGTGACTCAAATTAAAAAAAGTTATTAGATTATTGCACAGAATCTTTGCATTCTTGTCAGAAAAATGTATGTTTTGTTCTTCTATGTAGAGTTTTACATTTTTTGTCAGATTTTTGTCATGTTTCTCGGTGTTTGATTCTGACAGGTGTCTTGGTGGTTCTCAGCAGGACTCCTACATTTATATAACTCCACTTTGAGACTGTTTTGGGCCAGGATAATTACTGTATTTTTTTCTGTATAAGTTGCACCTTTTTGCATAAATGTGCAAGTCCTGCGACTTATACTCCAAAGCGACTAATATACGTTTTTGCCATAGTTATATCCCAATTTTTGGCTGGGATCTGACGATTGCATTCATTCTGACATGAAAAATATAGAACACTACCATTTTCAGCCGCTAGAGGGTGCTCGACTAATATGGCAAGCCAAGTGTCTCATTAATAGGTAAAAGTGGCTATTAATGAGACACTTGGCTTGCCATACAAGCCACCTTCATCTCACTCCAGAATTCCTGGAGCAAATGTCAAATCAGCTGCATTTCGCCGTGCCACGCCGGCGAAATGCAGCTGATTTGACCCTTACAGTGCATTTATTAAGGAAAAGTAACTGAGACACACCTTTTGATATAATGCCGAGCAAACAAATAATTGTTTTTAGATGTCAGTCTTGTTAAATTTCGACAAACTGCACAGTAAGTCATCCCTCTGCGCGCTCCCGCGAATCGATTTTTGAAATGCAGCTGATTTGACCATCAAAGTGCATTTATTAAGGAAAAGTTAAACTGAGACACACATTTACTATAATTTCGAGCAAACAAATAGTTGTTTTTAAGTGTTAATCTTGTTAAATTCTTGTTAAAGTCCTCCCGTGCACGCTTCCGCGGCCGCCATTTGGCAGCCAATTGATTTTTGGCACAACACCGGCTCACGTTTCCAGATTGTCAGTGGAGACGCGTAATAGATGCAACTCATACGGCGGTGTGATGTGTACGGCGGCAAGTACGGTACTTATTGTGGAACTAAACCTGCCTAATAACTTGTTGACTTAATTACAATCAACATTTCTAGAATTGCAAGTGAGACGTTTGCAGAAAATACAAGTATTCCTTTTTTCAGCAGAGTTTTTTTTACTGATGTGACTGTCACAGATCAAAGCTATTTTGAAACCTGACTGACGTCCACGAAAAGGTAGCAGTGTTTGCCTTTAATCAACATTTGGCCAATTTTTTACACCAACACAAAGTCAGAAAAAAAGATTTACTTTAGAAGCCATACTTTTCAGGCTGCTGGTATTTCTTCTGATGCGGCTTTCAGCTCCTTCAAACTGCTGAATCTACATTTAAACCAGTCATGTGATCACTGTCGGTCATAGCAGGTGCCCATCTTGTTCAGTGTTTCTTGCTTGTGCCAGTCGTCCGTCAAGCTTTTTGCTTTAAATGTCTGCTGCAGGCTCCAACTGTGGTTGTCAGTCAGTATGAAAATCCTGCTTCATAAAGGTCTGTCATATGTGGCGCATTGATCCAGAGCCATGAAAGGTTGTATACGAGCACCGCTGGCACTGGCTAGGACATTTGCACGTTTTTAGTTAGATATGTTTGGCTCATATGTAGTTAGATATTTCGATTAATTTAGGACTAAGTTGAGTGTTTTTTTTATGTTATTTTTATATCACATGTACTTTTTAATAGCTTAAATTAGTGTTTAATCTCTGGTTAGTGGCAGATAAGATGCATGTCTTTATATTATGCCAACAATTTGATTCAATGAAGATACAGGAGCAGCAGAAACGGATACAATACAATTTAGGCTTTAATCCCAAAAGAGTTAGGCCTTTAGTTACGATATGATACAGTAAGTTTAAATATTAGTTTGACTCAACAAACTGTAAGTCAATGCGGTGCAACAAAACAAATTAATTATTCTATCAGTTATTGTTGTTGAAGCTAACCGTTTACTACCTAATCAAAAATTACAACCCGCAAACATGTCTTGTTATAAAATTGCAAAACAATTTCATTTTCAGTAATTTATTTAAAAGGATTGCACACATCAATCAATATTCCACAAATATAAATGCACCAGAATTAGCACAATAGCTCCATTCATACATGCATCATAATTATTATTCACACATATATTAAACCTGATTCTTAATAATTAACAACAAACAAAAATAAGTCTTGTGCAAAATTAGTAAAGCTGCCAGGACCTCAACAGCTTCTACTTTATAAATAATAAAACACGAGTTGTTGTTTTTTCTGTTATATTGGTTGATCTGTTTGAATCATGGTGGAGAACGTTTTCAGTTTGTTCCTGGTTTGCTAAAAGCCATTGCGCTGCCAGTATACTCCAGTTTCCTCCCACAGACCAAAAACACGCATGTTAGGCTCACTGATAACTAAATTGTCCCTAGGTGTGAGAGAGAGAGAGTGAATGGTTGTCTTTGTGTCCCTGTGATGGACAGGAGACTTGTCCAGGGTGTCCCCCACCTCTCGCACAGTGACTGCTCTAAGTGGGCTCCAGCTCCCTGTGGTCCAGAAAGGCAAAAGCAGATAATGATAATGGAGAGACCTTTTTAAAATCTTTCTAAAATTCAGTACGAGTTGAATACACAGCATTGAAGATTTGTAATTTGAAACTGCAGTTTTCACTTACAGTCTTTATTTGCAATGATGGAGATGTGATTCATTTCCGTATTCAGAAACTAGTGTACACTATAACAATTATATCTCTGTATTTTGATCAAGAAGTGTGATAATAAATAAGAGTAGGAGTTAAAATAAAACACATTTTTAATCGGAGAATTTTGTTAATGAAGTCATTTTTGCATGTAAATCCTATTGAACACTCATCGAGGACATTTAAGACCCACGTTTTGATCTCAAAAAGAGACGCAGCTGTTGTTGTTGACCATCTCAACATCTGCAGAGTGAAGAACTGTAGGTACTCAGCCAACACGTGCAGACATGTGTGTAGACCTCCAAAAAGCTAACAGTGCATTTGATGTCATGCATAGGTCAAGTGCTAAACAAGTACAAGTTCTTCAAGAGGAGTTTTAGCATGAAAAACAATAAAAATGAAGCTTTGTGTGGAAAAAATAGACGTTCTTAAGACTGATAATCTCTAGTTTCAATCCATCATGGAGCAGATTTCTGTTCATTGTAGCTTGTGCCCTTTCCTTCATAGAGCAGAGGCACAACAATCAACAATCTTTTGTGTTGGAGACGCCACCAAGTGGCAGCAGCATGAAGCACACTCTTTTTTTTAAAAATCAATTAAGACAAAACATATTTTAAAAAGGTTAATCTTGCACATTTATTATTTGTTACGAAAATGACCCCATACAAAACCACTGGCACTAATTTATGCCTTAAGTTGTATTCTGGCGGCACGGTGGCTCAGTTAGTAGAGCTGTTGCCGCTCGGCGAGAAGGTCGCCAGTTCAAATCCCGGCCCGGGGTCATTCTGGGTGGAGTTTGCATGTTCTCTCTGTGCATGCGTGGGTTTCCTCCGGGTACTCCGGTTTCCTCCCACAGACCAAAAACATGCATGTTAGACTGATTGGTAACTCTAAATTGTCCCTAGGTGTGAGTGAGAGACGGAATGGTTGTTTGTCTCTGTGTGTCCCTGTGATGGACAGGAGACCTGTCCAGGGTGTCCCCTGCCTCTCATACAGTGACTGCTGGATATGGGCACCAGTGACTCCTGTGACCTGAAAAGGAAGAAGTGGAAAAATAATGAATGGATGGAAGTTAAATTCATTTTTTTTTTAAGAACAAAACACATTTTTTAGCATGTTGGCATGTAATAGAAATCTTTACAAATTCCTCAAGACCAGGCTGGTGTGATGAAACGGGTCGTATGAGGCATTCTAACGAATATCTCACAATTATTTTGACTTCCAGTTGAATCTGAATAGCAACGAGCAGATCCGGTGAATGAGCATAAATAAATGTAGAGGCTCTGCCAGTACGTTAGAAACCTTTAGTCGGCCGGCACAATCTGGGTTCAGTCAACCTGGTCTCCTCATTTCCCTGATAGGCTTGGGTAACTACCCTCAGGACCCCTCTGCCTACGGACCAACGCGTCCTTCTCACAGTTATGGTCAGGAAGAGCAGGGAGGATATAGTGCAGGTAGGTGACAGCATCGTCTTCTCCAAACGCAAAAGAAACTTTTGTTCAGTAATTTAGTTTTTATAGAGCTGCAACATGATTCACTGCCCCCACTTTTTTTATTGCTCAGTGTTTAGTATTTTGCATGTACATTTTTGCATGTACGTACAAATGACTTTGCGTTTACATGTATAGTAAAGTCCAGCCGTCATTTACGTCACAATGAGTGTATTTGAAAAAAATTTACATAGAAATTTGTCAAGTTTAGCTTGAAATCAAATAAGCGCCTCGTTTGGCTGTGGCTTTACTATACCAAGATTCACGTCCTCCTTTTTTAAATGTTTTTTTTGTTGACTGTCTGCATTGCTTTGCTGATTTGTAAAAGGATGATCTAATTGTCAGAAAATGTGTTCACGGTTCAGTCGTCTCTGCATCAGCAGTCCATTCACCCGTTGTTTTTAAATGGCCTGTCTCCAGCTCAAGGGGTGAGACAGGAAAGAAGATTTAAAGGAGACTTCGATACCAGTAAATTTCCATTTCGCTACCATTTCCAACCAGATTTCTTTCCTTCCCTGTTAATCTGTTTCTATTACATGTTTGCAGGGAGATGCTGCCATCCAGCGGCTAAATTAAATATGAACGTTTGCTCCTCGTTTAATCTTATTCATAAAACCAACTATGTATTTTCTTTTCTTAATTTAGCTGATGTTATCCTTTGTTTTTGCCCAACACTAATTTTTCAATAAAACAACTTCTTGAAGGATTACAGTATTTGAATATTGTTTGGGGAAAACGATAAAGGTGGTTCAACTAACTACTGATAAATGTCCCACACTACATTTGCATTTTGGCTGGCAGGGTGAGCGTTGGGCGAAAATAAAATCTGTATTTAGAAGGTTTCACTTCTTTGTCACTTTTTGAGGGAGAAGGTAAAAAAAAAATGGTCCTCGACCTTTTCATTCGACACTTTAAGATATTTAAAGCCCGTCCCAGACATTAACTTTCCCTCTTTACCCATTTTTATTCTATTTACTGCAGGGTACGGCCAGGACCTGACAGCCTTCGGCCACAGCTTCGCAGACCCCGGTCAGCCAGCCGCCTCCTACGGGGCTCCAACAGCACAGCCTGCCGCTCCCCAACCCACCGCAAGTGCGTTTGGCAGAGGGCAGAACCACAATGTACAGGGCTTCCATCCCTATCGACGCTGACCTCCAACCCCACTGGGTGGTGCCCATTGTGTAAAGTTCAGAAACAAAAAGAAGAACGGAAAAAAAAAAAAAAAAAAAGTCAGGGAAACGAGTGTTGTCGCTTAAAGCAAAACTGGAACTCTGAGTTGCCCGTTAGGATTGTCGAATGAACACAGAAGCAGAAGCCTGTTGTGAAAACAAGGATTCCAGGAAATTTTAAAGAGGTGTTTAAAAAAAAAAAAAAGATATATTTTTTTTTGCATAACTTATTGATGATTCAGCAGAAAGGCTTCTACCAGCCCCTCCCCTCCACCTCTCCTACACCCGTGTTTTATAGTAGAACTAAACTACTTCGCAATAATTTTGATTGTCTGGTGAAACACTAGCACAGATAATATATGTGAAGAGCTTGCATTTGAGTGTATATTTATGATGGACACAAACGAAAACAGGGTCTCAAGTTTCCTCAGCTTTAAATTCAAGGGAAAAAGTTTTTATTTTTCATTTGGTGAATCTTTTGTTTACTTTCTGAGCCTTTAAAGTTTGTTTAAAATGGAGATTATAATTATATATATATATTATACACAAACTGCAATTTTTTAAAAAGAGAATTTTGTACTATAAATGTACACTGCTTGTTTTTTTATTTAAAGATGTAGACTTCCCTCAGGTGGCTGTTTTGGGTGCATTTTTGCACTTATGCAAAAAGAATTTAAAGGAGAAATTATTACTGAAATAAATGTTTTAAGAATAAAATTGGTCTTGTGCTTTTTTTTGTCCTTGTTATTACACTGGAGGAACTGCACAAAAGGGCATTCACTTTATTAAATCAGCAGTTTAATGATTTATTATTATTATTGTTCAAAAATTTTTCAGAATTCCCAATATTAGGATTTGGAGGTGTTTTCCTTTTGGATTTAAAATTTAAAATGCGCTTTTAGACGAATCTGTTCATCTTCAGTTTATTTCAAGGATAGATCATGAAACTGGGCTTTTGGTGTGGATCATGTTAAACTGTGTCCCCTCACAGGGTCTTCTTTAAGAATTAAGATAAACTGACAGATTCAAAATGACCACAAATCATACATAAAACATTTATGGCTGCATTTCTGTTGCTTTCTGAAGTGCTTTGCACAATTTAGCTTTCGTCTCAAACTACTTTGATAATTATACCTGCAGTCTATGCTTTATTTCATCTAATTTATTTCACATGTAAAATTGTTTGGTTATTGTCTATCTAAAGTGGTTGCTCGCATTTATTTTTGCTCATTTTAGCTTTCATTTAGGCAAACTGGCTATTTTTTGTATTCTTTTGAGACCGTAGGTTTATTAAAAAAAAATCAGTTTTTGCACAGTTATATTTTTAGGATAAGACCGGTGGACCACCCCACTTCTTTCTGCACTTGAAAGACCTTTTTAATAATTTCCTCCACATGGTTTTTACATGTGTGTCACCGGCTGCCGCCGTAAAACGACAGATGTACTGACACTACTCCGATGCGTTTAAGAACCTCAGAGAAAAAACAATTTTTTAAAATATTTTAAATATAATAATCCAATTGGATCAAGCAAACGTATATATACATATATTGCTGTTGCTGTAAAAATGCCACAAGGGTTTGAAAGTTGCTTTATCTGAAACCATCGACATGCCTGAAACCCCTGAATGATTATCTCCGGGTTAAAGGGTTACGGGGAAACGTCTGATTTTCTCAAACTACCCATTTCCGCGTTGTTCCCCATATTAGCATTAAGCAGCCGCTACCTGCTGTCGGAGTAGTTCAGCTGCTACATTTTACCCCCTTCATTTGAAGCACAACACATTTCGACAGAAGGAGGTAGACTTTCAAGGTCTCTGGGCAGAAAGTGTAAGCCGAAAACACGGACTGACATGTTTGCTGTGTTGATTTTTTGTCATCTTTAATATATTTGCCGAGCTAGCTAGCTTAATGCTTAACGGGCGGCGAGCTGGTTCACGTCAAAGTTTATCACCGGCAGGATTTAAAGGCTTATGATAGTTTGTCAGGATGTTTTATGGACACGACGCACTCAGAAATACGTTTTCTTTCGGTCAGATAATTTAAATCACCAACAGGCGTACCAAAAGAAGAAATTAATCTGAGTTGTTTTAACTAAAAACCAAATTAGAGAAACATTTTTAAGTCAAGCTGTGCTAAAATTAAGGCATGGGCTGTTTTCAAGGTGTCATAGTGGATGACTTCACAATAGTTTATATCTCTACCCAACACTTAATGTCACAAATCTACAGAAATGAGTATTTATTCACTATAAATAAAAGCAACACACTCATCTGTTGATGGTTACTGCTGAAGATGTGGAAAGATTTGAACAGTTCACATTGAGGTTTGTCACCACCGTAGATTTGAGACAAATAGTAAAAAGCAAATACATAAAACCACTTCAAGAATAATTATAATTGTAGAGTAATTGGACAATACTGTAGAGTTGTCCAGTCTTTCTTATGTCTATTATTGCAAGCAAACGGCTTAGATGGTTGAAAACACAGGGTTGACTTGATTAAATTCACTTTAAAACCATAAAAAATAAACAACAGCGTTTGGATTTTTGTCAATCTGACCTTCATTTATCATAATCTGCACAGTTAGTTAAGCCCTGCACACTCCAGAAATGATCAGGATGTCAGAATATAAATAAATGTTGATGATGTTAAAATGACATGTGATGTGCACCCACATAATCCCACGGTCCCACATGTTGCTGAGATTAGGGCATTTATGCGTCACGTCATTCCAGCTATTCTTTGAATTTTAATTATTTTATAAACCGTCCAAATAACTGCGTTTCTTCTCGAAGGCATTTCACAGGACAGCAATCCTACCCTGAATTTTACCAGTAAGAGATGATCATCCTCCACAAACCTTTAAATTTAGCATCGTAAGGGTGACTTGTTTCTCTTGAACTGACCATTTTGTAACATGTCATGAGTTCGTAGTTCAGTTACCGAACTGTTAAAGCAACAGTCTCCATCGCAATGTTCTTCTCTGTCTCTAAACATAACCGAAAGATGTCAACATGACAGCCTGATCGTGCTGATGCAGACAAACTTGACGTGAGGGTAGCTGCTGCTGCCTTTTCAAGAATTCTTCCTCCTGATAGCTTGCGGTTCGTTGAGGCTGCAGGACAGCAAGCAGGATACGAGTTGCAGTAAAATGTGGAGCAACAGTGTAAAATTTGCCACTGTTGTGACACAGACGTTGAAGCGTCAGACTCATGCAGATGACTCACACACGGTGAGACTTGACATCAGAAACACGAGGCTGGAAGTGTGCAGGCGATCAGCTGAAGAACAGCAGATCCTACGTGGAGCAGCTCAGAGGCACCTGCCAACCCCCATAACACATAGTGTTAGCTCCGTGTGTGATGTGGTTTGTCACAGATTCATTACAGGGTTTAATTATGTTGTCATTTAGACCAGGTGTCACCCTGATGCTACTGTAAACAGAAGCTTCTTGGAACAAGCCTTTTTGTGTCATGCCTTCAGCTCTGGTCTCTTCCTTGGTGTTTTTCCAGGCTGTCAGTTCTGGCTCAAGGTTGTTGAACAGTTAATGCGCAAGGTAAAGAGGCTGGAAATTGAAAACAGAACGGAAGACGGCCAGGAAAGGTAGGCAATGTACATTTATGCAGCTCAATGTTTTCTCTTAATCCAGTGTTTGCAGATCAAGAGATTCAAATCTGATAGTGTATCGATAATATGAGATTATTTTTAATGCTGATATGCCGTTCAGTTTATTTTCTACATAAAGTGTTGCTGAAATAAACTTTTTAATGACTGTTACTGCTGCTGATGTGAGTTCATCTGTCGACAGCGTCAAAGAGGCACTGGAAGACATGACGGGAGTGGACGAGCTGTCAGACAGCACAGAGGTGGTGGAGATGGAGGACGTGAACCCCACCCAGTTCCAGGTGGAGAAGCACTCGTGGGATGGCCTGCGGAAGATCATCCACAACAGCCGCAAAAACACAGGCGTGGTCATCAACAAGGCGCCACACGATTTCCAGTTCGTCCAGAAAGATGAGGCCAGTCCGCACTCCCACCGCATGTACTACCTCGGTAAGGAGGGGGGAGCTGAAATCTGAGTCCAGCTGATGCGTAAATACAGGATCCACTGTCATTTTTATGAGTTCAAATCGAAATCCATGCAAGTTTCTGAAAAGATCACAAAAGCAACATATTGTTTTAAAATCACAACACACTTCCTTTTGTTAATGTAGTTATCATCGAAGAATAAATTACCTTTGCTAGAGTTATTTTATAACTTTGCCTTTTGGTCTTACTGTTAAAAACATTATAGTATACAGGAGTCCCTTGTTTATCACAGGGGTTTCCGTTCTAAGCCCCCCCACGATAAGTGAAAAACCGCCAAGTACGAATAGTAGTACAAGTAGCAAGTAGTAGTAGTACACTAAACCCTTTCCACACGTGCAATATTCTAAACTCTAAATGCTCTAAAAGAGCACAGAATGTCGTGATTTCAGCTCTCTCTGCCACCTGCCAGTGCTCTCGGCCACGCCCACTTTTCCACTGCAGATCATGACATGCAGCAGGAGGGAGCTTCTCCTGCACCTGTGGGCTGCACACAGGTGCAGCAGGTGCTAAATAATTGAAAATAATTTATTGTAAATAAAAAATTAATGCCGATCGTGTGGCTCATCCATCAATTAGCCAGTTGTGTTTCATGCCCAATCTTATTTTGAAAAACCACGAAAGAGCGAGTCGGCGAAAGTTGAACCGCGAAGTAGCGAGGGACTGCTGGAATTTGTTTTACGTTAGGAACATTGTAAACAGTTTCATAATTTTTCTCTTGCACTTGTTGAAGAATTGTCTTTGTTTCTCAGAATAAGCATTTATAATTTATCATTTATGTTCAAAATAATGATAAAAAAAAAGTTTGATTTGAAACAA